GCATGTGCTTCTGGCTACGGATTACTTCACCAAGTGGGTGGAAGCTGAAGCCTTCTCTAGCGTCACCCACGAAGAAGTAAAGCATTTCATTTGGAGCAACATTATTTGCCGGTTTGGGGTACCAAAAGTCATCGTAATGGACAATGGTAAGAACCTCGATAACAGAAATACAAGGAAGTTCTTTAGCGAACATGGAATCCTGTAAAAATTGGCTGCAGTTAGTCATCCACAAGGCAATGGGCAAGCTGAAATAACTAATCGCACGATATTCGGGTGCTTAAAGAAAAAATTGGAGAAATTGAAGACAAAGTGGTACGAGAATCTCCCTCAAGTGCTCTGGGCCTATCGAACCACTCCAAGACGACCCACGGGAGAAAGCCCATTTGCTATGGCATATGGATCCGAAGCTGTCATTCCTACCGAGTCCATAATCCTAACCCTTCGGACATCCTTGGTACTGGAGGGGAACAATGAGCAACAACTCGAACATAGCCTTGATCTTGTGGACGAAATGAGAGATGCAGCAGCAATTCGTCTCGCGGCCTACCAACAGCAGGTGTGTAACAGTTATAACAAACGCGTCAGATTCAGGAGCTTTGTGGTAGGCGATTGGGTTCTGAAGCAAGAGACAGCTCATGTAAAGAAACTGGAACCTAATTGGACCGGACCCTACAGGGTTACCGAAGTAGTGGGGAAAGGAGCATATCGTTTGGTCGAAGCTGGCGGACGTCCCATTGCGCGTCCTTGGAACGTAATACACCTGAAAAGGTATTTTCATTTGTTAAGTTTGTTAATTTTGCTACAAATTCTTCATAAATAAGGCTGCGTATGTCCACAGTCAGCCAAACTTTTCTTTATTTTGCTTCTATATTCAGTACAACTCTCCTCTATTTTTGTTTCTTTTTATAAAAATGGGGGGCTATACTACTCTATGATTATGCGACTTTTATGCATGTATGGCATTCGTCACAATGATTTTTCCAAAAAAAAAAAACACATGAGTTATGGCCCATGCTTAAAACTTTCTATCCCACATAGACAAAAAAGTATGTGCTACATTCTGTTATATATGGAAATATTCAAATAGTTAATTACGGTGTAAGGAGGGCCCACTGGTATTTAAGGCTGTCAAGCTCAATACCAGAGGCATTCCTTACACCGACCTTTTTGACAAAATTTAGTCTATGTCCCACATCGGATAGAAATAGAAAAGAAATGCGGTTCATATATGCGTGGTCCACAACATTTGGTTGCCAAGAAGGGAGTATCAGTGGAGGAGGCAGGTCTCCAAAGTCAACAAATGGAAAACTTCACAGCCACTGTTACTCGCTTCTTGGCCTCTTATCATTTTTAAATCCTCGGCCTCATGATAAGTGGTTTGAGGAAAAATATAAACAAACTTCCCCTCAGGCTCAGCGCCGTGGAGTAGTTCATTCCCCTCGGACCCTAAGTATCCGGCTCGGCAAAACCTCCCCTCCAGCTCCGCGCCAGGGAGTGTTTAAATTCGCCTCGGACCCTAAGTGTCCGAGGCGGCTTCGGACCCTAAGTGTCCGGCTCGGCAAAACCTCCCCTCTGGCTCAGTGCTGGGGAGTAATTCATGTAAACCTCCCCTCAGGCTCAGCGCCGGGGAGTAGGTCATTTGCCTCCGACCCTAGGTGTCTGACTCCGCAAAAATCTCGCCTCGGACCCTAAGTGTTCGGCTCGACAATAATCTCGCCTCAGACCCTAAGTGTTCGGCTCGACAAAAATCTTGCCTCAGACCCTAAGTGTTCGGCTCGGCAAAAATCTTGCCTCGGACCCTAAGTGTCCGGCTCGGCAAAACCTCCCCTTAGGCTCAGCGCCGGGGAGTATTTAATTCGCCTCGGACCCCAAGTGTCCGAGGCCGCTTCGAACCCTGAGTATCCTATTCAACAATATGCCTCCACGACTCAGTGCCGAGGAATAATTCGCTTCGGACCTCTGGTGCCCGGATCAGAATTCTTGCCTCCGGAATCCAAGTGTTTAACACCCTGTGGATGTGGATATATCATAAGTTCATCATGATCCACCCCACATCGGGAACACATGAGAAGGAAAGAGTATGTATACGTCTACTGCAGGCAAGTAAAAGGCAAGGAGGGTTCATTTAATAGTTAAATCATTGTCCATATGAATCATCCTGAGATATCAACTAAACTGTTAAAATGATCTTCTTCTTCCCACCATCCTTGCTTTTTCGCGGATAGCATAAATCCGAAGCATAAAGACAATGTTTATTGTTTTAAACACATTACCAGTCAGAGAAATATGAACAGTATCAAAAGCATACAACAAAAACAAGTCAGGTAAGCCTAAAACAAAAAATTATATTCATTATCCCAAACATGCTGTCAATAAAAACAAAATACATGGTTCTACTTCCTCTTCGGATCGAAGGGAGTAGATTCAAAAGCCTCCACTACAGTAGGACTTGGGGTAGGAGGAATTGAAGCCGCAGGAGCAGAAGAGCTAGTAGTACCCTTCAGGTGCACTTTCACCATCTCGGAAAAGCGGATTTCAGCTTCCAAAGCCTCTGGCCCTTCATCGTATGGGAAGTGCACCCCCACCTACTTGTCAAAAGCATCCGGATCCATCGTCCTAGGGCCTGAGCCCTGATTATAGCCAGACCGGAACGCTTTAGCACTAGCCAGGTGTGCCAGACAGGAGTAGCGCCCCTGCATTTGCTTCCCTGCCTTGAAGCAAGTAGTAAGAGCCTCGGTCAGGCGTTGAACTTCGGCCTGAAGAGAATCCACCTTAGCCTCAGAGGCTGACAACTGCCTCTTATACGCATCCTTGGCTTCAGAAGCTATCTTCAGATTGGTAGAGGCAGTAGTGGCTCTCTTCTCTGCATTGTCAAGATCCTTTTCCAGCTTCTTGATGGAGAGGGATTGGGCTTCAGCAGTGGCGCAGAGGGCCATGGTGTGGTATAGACTCTGTATAATAGAGGAACAAATATAAGCATAAATAGAAACATAAGCAAGCAAGAGTAACATAATTCTGAAGGAGCAATGCGAACCTCTATAGCCCGGACCGAGGCAGAGGGGAGTAGTTGTTCCAACCCCATTTGGCTGATGGCTTCCTCGTCCTTTGGGAGCCACATTCCTCGAGCCACCTCCAGTGCAGCTGAAGGGTCTGTAATCACAGAATCCCCTGAGTACAGGACTGACTTGTCAGCCCTGGTGAAGGAAGGAGTCCAAAGAGCCCCAGTCTCAGCCAGAACAAAGGCCCTGACTTCATCTTCTGGTTCGGCCTTTCCAGCCTTTTTCCCTCTGCTTTTAGAAGGGACCTTGCCCTTGCCAGAGGATGAGGGGTTGAGGCGAGATTTCTTCATTGGTGGTTCCTCAACCTCCACCTCATCCTTAGTTGATCTAATAACGACCAAGGGTTGGGCATCTTCGGCTTTCTTTTTTAAAGCCTCAGCCCTCTGTATTTCCTCCTCAGTCATGGGGAAACTGTCAAAGGATGGTAGAGATAGATCCCTGAGGTCTGCAGCAACAGCACTGGAGGCAATATCCTTGAGGTTTGAAGAAGTTAGCAGGTCCTCGATAGGCGAGGGGTCACTCCAGACTCGTTCCTCAAGAAAAGAAAGTCTATTCCTTGCTGCGGAGGATGGGAATGTAGCTGAAAAAACACCAAGAAACTCATAAGTACGGCGAAACATTAAGACTTGGCAAGGAAAACAGCCAGAACACTTGGTATGAAGGGAGGTTAAGTATTCTATACCTAATTTCCCGAACTTGCACGGGATGGGGAGAGTAATTGATTGGGGCACGAACCATTTTCCTTTAACTATAACCATCATTTCTTTCCACTTCTTTTCGGATGAAGGAAGGTTCGTGCATATCCTCTGATGAAGGGGAGAGGTAGAAAAGAAGCGACCAGGCTCGGTCCCATGCTTAGATATATTGTAACTAAGCAGAAGGTCGGCAAGGGTCAAATCCAGAGCCTCTAATTTCCGGCGCACCAACAATGCCGAAAGGATGCGAAAGAAATTAGGATTTACCTGAAGGGGGGCAAGACCTAGCTTATTGAAAACTAAATGATAGAAGGGATGAAGAGGGAATCGGAAGACGTTAAGATGCCCTACCGAAAGAAGCAATTCATCCTCCTCAATTCCTTCGCCGGAGGTAAAATCGGCACCCTCGTGATATTCTGCAATTTCTACTCCCTCAGGAATATCAAATTCTTCCATTACCGAAGCAATAGAGAACTTGATGCGGCGAATAGAGATGATTGCTTTCTTCTCTTCACGAGTAAGAACATAATCAGAGCCTGAGGTGGATGTCTCAGTTGGAAGAGGGGAAGTACCTAATGGATTCAACGAAAGGCGATCTGTAGAAACCCTAGGAGGGGGAGCCCTAATGCGAACGGGGGAAGATAAAGGTGTGGAGTCAGAATCCCCAAGGTCTATACGTTCGGGAGTAGATGAAGTACTCATAATGAAAGATTGAAGAAAAAGATGCGAAACTAACCTGACAAAGCGATGGAATGAAGAACGCAGAAGTGCAGCAAGGGCGAATGTAACTCTTGCAAAATCTTGTATAATGGAGTAATAATGAAAGACCTCGAACCGTTTCTGAAGCAAAGTAAAAAACCGGTTTCAATTCCTTCTTTAATAGGAGCCGTCACTCAATTAAAAATGAAATTTGGGGCAAAGTGTGGAGGGAAAAAAACTCCCTCCAATAAAAAGCGCACACGTCACCACTACACATATCTACATTCCAAGGACATATAAGGCCCATCAGGCTTAAGCCCAAATTGAGGGTATTTACAGCCCAAGACCATTGTTATTTGTCCTCCAACCTCCATCAAGGCCGAATCAAGAGGTCATCAGCCCAGCTTGTTAACATCCGGTCTGTTACTCAAGCCCAGCCGGATCAAAATATGTTCAGCCCAGTTATTCAAGAATGCACAAGTCCTACCAGTTGAAGTATTTACTGTAGAAGGAAAATTCTGAGATAGGAAGTTCTGTACAAGGCAAGTTCTATGTATGGAAAATTAGACAATGGAAAGAACTCTATTAGTAAAGAATGTTTATATAGAAAGAATTGGAGGGCAAGCAACGCGAGTCCTACCATAATTTTACAATCTTTTGTATATAAATAGAGGCTAAGACCTCCAATAAAGGGATCAAGCAATTCTACGCTTCTCTATACACTGTTCTCGTTTATTTTTATTATTTTTTGAGTGAGTTGTTTTGTTTTTCTCAATTATTATTGGTTGAACAAAATTTTGCACCTACAAGGGGCAATTGCGAAAGAGGTCCCTGGGCAACCCCTTCTGCCAGCTCCAAATGGAATCAATTCAAAGTCATGCCCTCTGAAATCTATGGAACAATTCAAGAACCTTTCAGGCTGAAACTCTTCGGGTTCAACCCACGTCATGGGGTCTATTCCGATTGCCCAAGCATTGGTCAGAACCATTGTTCCGGCGGTAATGTCATAGCCCATTACTCTGACATCTTCGCTCGCGTCATGTGGAACCAGTAATGGGATAGGAGGATGCAAACGAACAGTTTCTTTGATCACTGCTTGAAGGTAGTGCATTTCCTCCAGATCATCAGCTGTTATATGTGGTTTGCATTTAAGAATCTCTCTCACTTCATTTTTCACTTTATTCATCACTCTGGGGTGTCTTAATAGCTCTGTCGTTGCCAATTCTAGGACTGTGGAGGTCGTATCAGTTCCAGCAGAGAAGGCGTCCTACAAGAATCAGAAGATAAAACTTCAGATGGTTAGTGAACTCTATTCAATATATATGTATTTTTTTTATATGTATGGATACTTTTTAAACAATGAGTTCCGAGATATATTTGCTGATTTCTTTTTTCTTTTTTCTTTTATTTTATTTCTTTGCTGTTTTCTGATGCAAATGTTTCATTTACATTTATTGTTTAGCTAATGAGTTGTCTTTATTGTATTGACTCCTTAGGACTGTGTATTGTGTTGTATCTTGCCGGTTCTTTAATAAAATTCTAATTTGCGACAAACACAAAAAGAGAGAGAGAGAGAGATCCTCACCAAGACGAGAGCTTTGATGCAATCTCTATCAACAACACTATTTTCTTTATGGATCCTAAGCAAAATGTGAAGGAAATCCTCCCTGCCTTCTTCGCCTTCAACTCTCTTGTTGCCATTGTGTTGTATCTTGCAGGTTCTTTAATAAAATTTTTATTTGCGACAAACACACAAAGAGAGAGAGAGATCCTCACCAAGACGAGAGCTTTGATGCAATCTCTATCAACAACACTATTTTCTTTTTGGATCCTAAACAAAATGTCAAGGAAATCCTCCCTGCCTTCTTCGTCTTCAACTCTCTCGTGCCATTAGTCTTTGTTTTTAGGACATGTTGGAAATTTATATATACAATAATAATAATAATAATAATAATAATAATAATAATAATAATAAAAATTATTTTATGGTCCTATGAACTACGTTCTTTAAAATAGGATTGTAATGTAATTATTGATACTTGATGGATTGGGTTGTACTTTCTAATTTGGTGGTCTAATTGGGAGTATGATTTTTATACCATTAGAATGTGGTTTTCCAACTTATTTTTATACCATTAGAATGTGGTTTTCCAACTTATTTGGTATGATTTAATTATAACCATTAATATCTAAGTTTCCATTATAGGAAGGGAGAATTAGGTATGCTTGTTTGTAGAGAAACCGTCTCCTCTGTTGTTGTTATATATAAGGGTTTTAAAACCCTTATTCAGACTTATCATATTGACAACTCTCAGAATGGGGTAAAACGCTCTAATTTTTCATATCTCTCAAAAGGCACTAAGGATTTCTCAAAGGTATCTAAAGTTTAATCTTCTAATCAGGTATGATATCAAAAACATCTTTAATTCATAATTAATTCTGATTTCTACATCTTATTTATTATTTAAACCCAACAATTGGTATCAGAGCCAAGTTAGGGTTTCTAGAAATCAAAATAGTAAAGATTGATTTATGATGTAGTATACTTAAATCGGTGTATTTGAAATCGCATTGATTACCTTTGTGTCCATGATTTTCATGGGCAATTAACAATTAATCACATGGTCCAAAACTCTCTGAAAATAATAATTCAATCAGTTATGGCTTTTGGGATATTTAATTAATTAAACCACCTAAATTCATCACATAATTGATTCATGTATAATTTGGTTCTGTTCTCTAATACTATACACGCTAGACGAGAACTTTTTTATTTTTATTTTATTTTAATCATGAATTAGTTATACAAAGAATGCATCAGTTCGTTTCTTGTATATATTGTGCATGCAAAACGAGATTTTTTGAAGCAATAAGTTTGTTATGCAATTTATAATTTGTTTCCTCTATAAAGTAAGCACGCTGAACGAGGAACAAAAAGCCAATAAATTTAATTGTGAAAAACATATTGTATATAGTATATAGAGAGATATATGTTTTGAATATTTAATTAATTCTTAAAATTATTCTGTATATGTGAGGTAGTAATTTCATGTATTATTTATTAATTGTTCACTGACTAATTGACAGTAATCCTATGTAATGGTGATGAAATTGCATGACCTCATGAGTGTGTTATACATATAATTTTAATGGTGCTATCCAATGCTTTATAATTAATTTATGGTATTTATTCCATATTTTGGTTTAGTTTATGCACACTAAATAAATAAATTTGAACCTGATTGAAATGGAACTTCTATGATAAGGTCCTTCATTGGGGTTTATGAGGACCAGTAAAGTGACCATTTCAAAAAAAAAAAATAATAGTCAAAGTGAGTGATGTCTGCTAAAAAGTGACACGCTCATAGTAGTTATTATTTTTTGAAATTTTAAGACATTGGTCTTATTGAGGTCTCACAGTGCACTTATTTATATGAGGGCATTTGTTCTGCCAAAAGATAATCAATGTCTTAGTATGGGATAAGTGAGTAGAATATTTAAGAGTGCTTGGATTATAACTAAATAACCCTCTTGCCAAAATGTAGTGGATGTGTCTAGCAACAATTCAATTATAATCAAATAGGTCTATGTGCGATTTGATCCCAAGTTTGGGGGTAAAATAAAATCTAAAATTCTGTCAAAAGGTGATTTTTAGATGACATTTTATCTGTTCCCGCAAGGTGGACGGTTTTTGCATATAGTAAAACATCCTGAGAAATTCGGCTTAAAACTCCAAGCACGAATTAAAGTAATAATCCCTAAAGTTGTGACATATTATTTTATATGTTCTTTATTTTCATGTTATTTGATATAACATGCATTACAGTTATGGACGCTTCCACTATTCAAAAATAGCTCACATGGATTGAACCATTGAATGGTTCGAACTATACTACTTGGAGGAGAACCAACTGGAAACACATACGGGACTACAAACACAAATCTAGGCGACCTCACCACCAATGAACCGCTAAATACTACTAACACTAAACCTCGCATACGCTACACCGCGATACTCATGCCAACCAAAACCAACCAAATAAAAGTACCAACGCTCACGACATACAAACACTAGAAATAAACACAGCTCTTCGAACATCGTGTCCCGTTCCATCTGGAAACCGTCACTCGCAAATGACAACCTCTAAGCCGTAAAATGACACTTTACTACACATTCCACTTTCACCTTTCAAGGCAACACTACCTCGAACACCGTGCACACAAGATCCGTGACCTTAGTCACAACAACCCACTACTCGCCACAAGAAAAAGGTGCCTATATGGCAACATCGTCCTTACTGACTCTAAAGACTAAGCCAACCACAATCGCCTCAACTGGCATACAACCCCATCACCTACTTGACAACATACAACAAACAATTCATAATCCCCAAACCATATTCAGGTCATACCTTAAACCATCCTGCTCATCAACACTAAACATCTCACTATAACACCTCTATTACCATTCTTCCTGAAAGACAACTCGTACCTCTCATCTCACCAGACCATCAAGCCACTACCAAGTGGTTCTTCCTCAAACATCCATATGACAACACCATCGTAACAAAAAAATAAACATTACATTCGATACTTCCCATAACGACCACTATTTACCATTAGAAAAGAACTTCCATATGGCAATGTCATGCCGATAAACCCTCAAAACAAAATAAGCACAAATCTCAAAATGCTCAACACCCAATTGTTACCTCAATACCATCAACGATGCCATTAATCATTAACGCTTAACCGACAACATCAAACCATCTTTCTAAGCGATCTACGCATCCAAACAAGAAAACTTCATACCTTAAGTTCAACATCGTTACTTTTCCTCATTCCTGTTCCTTAAAACATCCTTGGCCCCGACAAAAATCAAATGGGGCTACCAACTAACCTACAAGATCAACCTTGTCCCAATCACTCTAATCATTAGTTTATCTCTTCGAATCCTCAAACAACAAGCATTATCTCCTGATACTCTAGACGCAATCTGAAATACAACCCTAATCCACAGTTTTTAAATTCTAAAATATAATTCATTTGATAACACAATACTCACCAGCTATCACTTCATCTACAAATAACCAAACACTCCAATGACCCCATACTACCTGTATTATTGTGCAATCCTGCACTGCACAGCTAAAACTAACCACTATACACCACCTCAAGATTCTCTAGACAGCCGCGCCAACCCAGAACCCCGTTCATCGACTAAGCCATGCAACCGATTCACCGAGAGTCGATTACCCATAACACACTCCTGTAACTCTTCGAAATGAGAATCACTCCTCAACAAACCAGTCTCTAAAATGGACCCCTACAAGACCATGAAATGATCTACATCCGGCAACCGGTCCTAAATCACCATAGACCTATAGAATCCAACAACTTCCCACGGCAGTTAAAACCAACACACTTCCTTAAGCCGTTCCAAAATGCTCGAAATACACATTTACAATCCATAGACTACATTCGTGACTCAAACAACCCCCGTCACACCTACCACGATCGGTTTGAAAAAGAACTTCCATACCAAACCGTAACCTAAGTCGCAAACACTAACCTACTAAGGTCATATTGAAACCCTCACTCGTACACTTGACCTCCATGGTCACTAGAACCCATACACCAATATATGAAACTCACACACAACAAGGGCACCTTGCCATGAAATATGAACCTATTATAAAGTCGTGCTCTAAGCACAGCACAAAATGCAACTCAAAAGATCAGAATGACTACAAGTCAAATAGCTCAATCCACGAGGTAGAAGCCCATGCCATTAGTTTGACAAGAACAGGCACCTAAACAACCCTAGAGCAATCGATCTCCTCGCCTACTCAAGTCAAAACTTACACAACTCTCAATGCTGCGACAAGTACCACAAAGTACTAGCAACCATCCCAATACTTAACCGTATAACTACATAAGGATATAGACATATACGTATACAAAATAAATGAAGCCCACAATACTTTACGAAACATGTTTGCATATACCATGCTCATTACTTGTCACATTAGCATTTAAATTAGAACTGCACATACCGTGCCTACTACTTCTCGTCACCACACTCCTCATACACAATCAACATGTTTTTTTTTCTTTCACATTTCATTTATACGGTTAGATCATCTAACTATTCCTCGTACATGACCATATGACATAAACTTTAGCATATAAACATATAAATGTGCAAACACATAGCAAGGAAGCATGTCTTTCAAAATCGTAAGCACATAAACATGTAAACAAGTAGACAGTTAAGCATACTTTTCAAACAACAAAACACTTTAGCAAATAGTCACATAAATAATGCAAATGACTTCCCACACAACCCTAGGTAGACCTCTACCCATTGTCCTAATAGTTTTCGAATCATCGCTCTGATACCAATTTTGTAACGACCTGAACCCATGGGTCCGAACCGTTAACTGGGTCCTTGCCCAAACCTGAGGTCAATTAAAAAAAA